AACAGAAAGTCACTCTTTATACATATCCTGTATGGCATACATTGCAGAAAGTAGATTAGTCTTAGAAAACCCGGCACATCCGAACTCATACGTGATGAAAAGAATTAACACGGCGAGACATGTGCCAGTTGTAATATGCACGATTGAGCTGCGGATATTCAGGATTTCAGCACGGATTAGAATGAATCGTTGCTGCACCACGACGTTTTGAATATGCTCAAATATTCGAAGCCCTTGCTGATTACCTATCCGTAACCCGATTGATAAAGCCCTTTCCACACGAAAACGATTTTTCGCTACGGTTAACTCTGGTGTGAACATTCTGGACAATCTGGATATTTGTACTGATAGTCATTGTGCTTCGTAATCGTTATTATGTGGTTCTGAGCGATCGGCATTCACTTACGATATCCTAAGAAACTTTTTAACTGTCTAAAACTCCCGTACTTCGCCGTACGATTGTCCCCTTTCTTAATGCGTAGTAGAGCTGCACGCCGGGTCGTATTATACCGAATGGGGCATTAGTGTGTGTTTATGTGCACGTGTGAGTATTTATTCCCACCTTGATTGCTATAAGACCTGGGGATCACGTGGCTAAGTGGGTAAGACGCTGGCTCGCTAGCCTGGAGGTCGGGTGTTCGATCCCTGCATTGGCCGAGAAAGTTCATCTAGATTTTCCGGCGTGGTTTCCCCTTGTTAGTGATGCAGGACGGAGGGTCTGACAAGGACAGCTGTCTAGTCGTTCGTGTACATATTGGCGTGCACGTAAAAGATCCCTTGGCAGTTGGAATTCGATATAAGAGTAGGCCGTAGCGCCGCTGCCCGGGCAAAATTTCCCTCATAGCACACAGTATGGCGTATATCCGTCTTCATTAGCCCAGTTTAGGAGTAGAATAGTAGGTCGTTAAACCCGATTCCATTACATTTCATGCTATGAGACCATTAGTTTCTTGATACCTTGCAGTATTGCTGACCATATGATGTGTCACATGATTGCGTCGTGCTTGGTAGCATTCGATCGTGATATTCCACCGAAGTGATATTGCGGACAATTACATGTTATATATATATATAGTGAAATGTTTACAATATGATTAGGGTCGTTTTCGTCGGTCTGGTCGATTTGTCCGGTTGAATGGCAGGGCGGTGCAACTCTTCCTTGGGGCTTGTTGGTGAGTGTATGGCCTGGTCCATTCTTCCTTTCATTTGGTTTTATTGTACGGTATGGTGGTTGATATCGTCTTTATTTTGTTATTCGTTCCTTTTGTTTATTGGTTCTCTGAAGGAAGAATCCAGTACCTGAAAAGAAAGAAAGGAGAAAGAGAGTATCTGGTCTTATAATGGTTATGTTTCGTCTAGTAAGGCTTCGGGATTCGGTCGTGTTCGTAATAGGCCGTACAAGAATGTTATGATGTCGCATCAGTTCATGGATAATCGGCTTAAACAGTCGTAATTGGTTTTTATACAGTCGCAATGAACCATACAGCGGCCGTGTACTGCCGTAAGAAGAAGCCGATCAAGCCGCTGTGACACCATTGGGTTTATTCTACACGAAAGTCCACTATGAAACCCGATTTCAAAAATCGTGGTAATTCGCAAAGAGAAAAATAAAAGATTAAATTTCTTCTGAATAAAATAATTTTAATTTCTAGAAAAACATCTTTGAATTAAAAATTGCATATTTACAGCTTGTTCGGTAGAAAGTGTGTAGCTAAATATAGTAGGGGTTCTATTTTAGCATAAAACTTCTGGAAATTGAGAATAGTCAGTATTAATTACATATAAAACTTTCTGAAATACATCGGTGATTGTTTCTAGGACACTACCAAATCATCCATCTAATATTTAATCATGTTTAAAATACAAAATATGAAGATACAGAAGGTAAAAATTTGCAGATTTTTGCGTTCGAATATTAAACCTAAAACATTCCATTATACTCGGAATGTCGGAGGTATCAAGGTATAGCTAGTAAAAAATGATAAGTCACTAGTCAGAGAGAGAGTGAATAAATACATTAAAGTCTTTTCTGTGTAAGGACAAATTCAATACAAGGATTAGCATTGTATCACATTATTTGCTACAGTGGTTAACGACAAACCGTATAATACGTGAAAACAGTGGATTAACCTATAGTAGTATATTATTAGGCAGTCAATCAAGGATTAAGGGTGCTTTAATGCCAATCTAAATATCATCTTAAACAAGGTTCTCTTACAAACTCCTCGACTTATAGACTAAATTTATAGTATAATACGTCGCCCCTCTTGTTGTAATAATAATGTAGTTAGATCTACATAGTTAAAATAATCCCCTTTATATACGTTGGTCCACAGGTTAAAAATACCTTAACTCGACCATAACCTATGCTCGTAATGTAGAAATTACATAGTAAGAAAATCTTGTTTCATAGTGTTAGAATTATATTTTTTGTGCCAATATTTTTCAATGGAAAGTTGGATTGCGATATTTTTTCGAACATAATTTCATGTTTTAAGCAGATCCGGGTGTTTTCATCATTTTTATTAAAGTAACTTGTCATCAACAATTTAATATCTTATAGAATAATGTTTGTACTTTGGAATTGGTGATCATATTATTTACACCAAAATAGTTAAATAATAAAAAAAAGTATATACTTCCAAAATAATTATGGCAGTACGGAAAGGGGAAATATTATTCCAAATTGTTTAAGTATTTTCTCAAGTTATCACTTCAATGAATAAACGTTAAATTACAGAGTTTGTCATTGAATCAAGTGGCCTGGTATCGACTCCCCGCTTGTACGTGACAAGGAGTAGGATCGCCTGCCCATCCCCGTGGGTTTTCTCCGGGTCCTCCGGTTTCCTCCCACTGCTAAAGACCCCTGCGCGCAAACGAATTATTAAATAAAATTGAACCTTGTGTTAGTCCCGAAAAGACCTAGTGTGTGTCGAGTGAACGTTAAACCCCTCTCTCTCTCTCTCTCTCTCTCTCTCAATGAATAAATTTGTTTTTCCTTATGCTGAATGAATAATCGAAACACTTCTTTTTGTCCGATTATAATATAAGCTTGTTTGTCAATTTTCAGTGCAGTAAATCATGAATCATAATATAAAATCAACTTTCAATACTTTTTCGGAGAATATTTTGAGGATACCCCATAATAAATATTGAATTTCCTATCCTGTATGGTCATAATGAGGCATGGATTACCCACGCAGAGTATTCTCAAGGAATTTTCTAACAATTCATACGCTTTAAGGAAAATACCAATTTGAAATATATTTCCTTATAAAAGGAACATACTATAGTATACGGTTATGTAATATTTCTTGTTAAAAATCTAAAATGGAATTATTGCAGTTAGTTCATTGAATGTTAATCTACTATCGTCGTTTTTTTTATCTAATCTTGGTAATTGATGGGCAGAGTAGCCGCACAGTATAATATGAGTTCATGAGTGTCCCCTCTAAAAGTCATTTTCAAATTAAAGTACCCGGCAATATTTTACTATCAATCTCTCAAAAAAAACCTTAATACATTTGTCAAATTTAAAAGAAAAAAAGCTTTCACTTATGCTATTCTTGTCTTGTTTTGCTGACTTTCTATTATAGGGAGAGTAATAGAGCCCCATTGTTTAACTTTAATAAACACGCTCAAAGTTTTTCTTTAATAAAAGGAAACAAAAATAAGGGAGCGATTGTGTGATTTAAGAGTTTCTCTCAGATGAACGTGGCTATATTGTAATCGAGTAATGTATTCGAGATAATCCGCCAAGCGTTTTCTCTATGTCAAAATGAACAGAATATCACACAAAGGGTATTATTCGGGTCGAGAGAATTGCATGTTCATTGACAAGAAGGGGTCATAGTTAAGAACATATTACAAATTATACGAGATACGTTCATTTGCTATTGCATATAACTTGTAACTTGGATTGACAGTTCATGTATACTAAACTACGTTGATGTTGAGGATTATTGCTAAACGGACCGACTCCATATTTCGAATTGTATCCTGTATTGCTGGACTATTTGACGCCAACAGCTTCTATACTCTACGCTGTACACAGAATCTTCTTTTATTAGAATTTTCAATTAAAGGAAATTGATATTATGTCAAATACACATTCATTCGGGATTCCAATGCCGACAAATTGATTTATTATACGGGTAGTTTGACCGAAATTTCATCAGGAATCAGATAAATTTATATTTTCTCACGGTTAATTTTAAAAAGTCTTCATGCCCACTTTTACCATCCAAGCTATTTTGAAACCGGATGATCGGATCCTCGATGGGAGTTGGATGGGTTTATGCACTACTTCTAATTTCCGGCATTGGTTAAAATGTCTGTTCTCGTTAAGAACAGATAAACCTTATTCGGGGAGGTTCTCTAAAATACCTGCTTGAAAGAGTCCGTACACTGTTTTCTGGTCTCCTTTTATGTCTCACTTTACACCTTAGTGGTTATACAGTTGCGTAGCAGTGATGTGCGGAGAGGGGGGGGGGGGGGGGCAACGGCCCCGAACATCCATTTCAGAGGGGCAACCAATGTTCTGGGGTTTTTTTTTCTAAAATTTGAAATTATCTCAGTACAAGGACTTATGCTTGAGTCTTGGGGCATGCACGCAAAGAGTTGGCCCCGGGCATCATCAGACCTATGCATGCAAGTAATGCAAGCAATTGGTGCGTAGGTTTAAACATCAGTATTAAGACACTGTGTTTAGTACTGTTCTCCACACATCATATCCGTACCTTGCGCGTACAAAATGGAGAATAGGTTGCTAACCATCATCGTATACAGTGCTGAATATAATTCATGGTTTTCTGGGGTCGACCAATATACCCCTGAGATTTGTAGAGGTGGGTAAAACATTGTCCAAAGACTTCATATCATTGAATCATTTGGTTTTGCGCGTCAACTTGGTGGAAGCAGAGTCCCTAATTTGCGAATATGGTCAGAAATCGTCCTTGGGCATAACCTTGATGTATTGGAATATAAAGCAACTAATTATATTATATATATAAACAACATTTTTATTATTTAAACCAAAGTAACCGAACCACGCGGGTACGATCCGTTCGACTTTCATAATATACATGATAGAGCACAGATATACACCACGTGACCAGTCTATAAATAGAATAATAAACAAAAAAAAATACTCAAGTGTTACAATGTTATCAAATACTAGTATTAAACAATCACACATGACAAATACGTTTTGTAGAAATATACATAATAATAATAATATTAATAATAATAGAATCGTTGTTTTACTATAGTTTATCCATATAATTAATCATTATCTTTCAAATAAATCTTTTTCAAAATTTATTATATAATTCAGCCTGTGTCTCTTTAAATCAAGTTACCAATACTTGTATTAAATCTTTAAATAAAGTAATCCAAATATTTAAATAAAATAGTCAAACATTGTATTAACTTTTATTCAATTCATTGTTATTAAATACTAAAGTAAATACTTGTAATACATCTTTAAATAAGATAGTGAATACTTGTTATCAAATTTCTAAAAATTAGAATGTGACGTTATTCAGTTTTCGATAGAAAAAAAAATATGTGAGGGTTCTTAATTCATTACTTTTTAAAAATTTGTCTATACATTTCCGTATCACAGCCTTACAAAATAGTACGTCTATACATGTAGTTCGTTTATACATTTTCCATACATAAATGTCACGTGTTACACAATGTTTCGTTTCCAACGAAACAACTTTAAGTCAATGAGTATTTACAAACTTAAATAAAAAACCGACTTGGGGTTATACTACAATAAGTCGGCTGAGGGGTTTTCATTCGTTCGTTCGTTCTTTCTGTCATTCAATAAGCTTTGCTCTCCACATCTTGTATTATTATGCTTTCACTTGGCTGAACCATTCTTTCCATCTGTATATTTAGCACAATGAAGCGGATGGCCAGCCCAATCCCTGATTGCACCTTTAGGTAACGTTGGTCTCCTGTAGTTTCGTATTATTGGAATGAAATACTGAGTGCTCTGGTTATTATTATTTTCGTATAATAAGACTGAGGTGGGGAATAGATATGGCAGTAGGGGAAGGGGTAGAATATATTATATAAAATACATCGATAATCTCATCAATACGGACGTCTTGTTTAAAGTCTAATGCTGATCTGTTCTAACTTTATGTACCAGTTTCTCACTCGGCGATATCACTTCGATAACATAGTTCCACGTTGATCGCCATTTTATTTCATGACGGTATCGCATTTCATTAATTTATAAATTGTCTTCTTTTACCAATGAGTGAAGCTTAATGTAGTTTTCAAAGAACTTGGAATTTGGGCCATGTCGACTCCTTGTAATCCAGACAATCGTTACGTTGCAGACTTTGGTTGGTAGAGAGAGAGCTGTAAGATCCATACTGGTTGTTGTTCGAATTTGCTGTCATACCGTTGGACATTTGATTGTGGTTCATAACAGGTATCTGCATGGGAGTAAAATAGTCCATGTTACCGTAATAAGACGAATGGTTGTAACCTTGGTGACTGTAATTATGATTCTGTCCGTTTGATAGTGTATAGCCTGATCTCTGCATACAGCTATTGGTGTTCATCAAATCATTCATTCCTGTAATTGAGGCTGGGTTCCAGATAGAAGAAGAGTTCATACCATTCGGGGGAGTAGTACTAACTACTGGTGGTTTATAGCTGACTGGAGAAGGAGGACTGGGTGGGGGGCTGACTTTAACCTTCTTTGGAGAGCTTGGTGGAGGTGGGTTGGGACTGTTCTGTGAGGCAGGTTGTTGTTTATTTTTTTGTTCAACGGCCTTTTGTTGTTGTCGGCATTTAGCTCTGCGATTCTTAAACCAAACCTGAAAATGAAAAATGAAATGAATTTAGTCAAATATTAAATATCTTAATGTCGGTGTTATTCAATCAATTATAAAAAATAGTTCGCCCTTATCTTTCCGAATCAACCAGATCCACAACTGATTGTTTGATCTGAGACTTTGGCAGTGTCCGATTAAAGGAAATACCACTAGACGAATGGGGAAGACCAGATGTTATTTAATATCATTGATGGAGCGTGAGCACTGTTTTATTTGTTTGTGGTTACATCAAAATGGCTAACTAAACATATTGTACTGACACGATAAGGCCCGGATGTTAACCCTACTTCAATATAAAAGGTTCTGGTGACGTAATACGTTCATGATGATTACATCACACTTGCTAATGTTTTGTTTGAAAGCGACATATGACGATCTAATACTTTCCGTAAATAATGTCAATTCAGATAACATATTCGTTTGTCATCATCAAGATTGGACATTTCATGGAAAATAGGGAAACCGTTATTCCCAATTTCAGAGTTTCCAGCATTTTGATTCCATGTTTTCATCTCACTGGCGTTTTCAATAGGACCCCGCTTTATTTCTGGCCGTTTGGTGAATGCGGTTAAAATTGCTGCAGGCAATAGGTTTGTATAGGGTGGTGTTTTTAAGGGGACAATTAGTGGAATAGCTGTTAAATGCTTAAATCAATACACTTAATCTGTCAAAAGATGTGTATTTTGCGCTTTTTGTGTCACAATATGTGCCGTTTCTAGGGCCATTACCAGCCCCTTTTTAAATAAGTATAAAAAAATAACCGGTAAAGAACACTCGCTATATTGTCATTAACAACTCCCTTGTCACTTTCATCGTCACGAGCGCATGGTTACTTTTGCTTAATTGGGAGAGTATGGAAAATATCAAAATCTTTAATTTCTCACTATTAAAGCATTAGTTTTATTTTTTTCACTATTCAAATATCTGTTTCATTATATACTATTTCTTAAAAAATCGAAGTAAATAATTATTCTATACATGAATTATATAGTCTCTGGAGTTCCATTTGTATTTTTTTTTTTTTTTTTTTTTTTTTCAAAATTCAAAATTTTAATTAAAATTGTAGTATTCTATCATTTGAATAATGGAATTTAATTCCGTGTTCCATTGTCAGTTATTTTACATTATAATAAGCCTACAGGTATTCCCATTCTTCAATTTTTAAAGCTTTGAGGAACAAATTAACCCTCGTAAAATGAACTATTATGACAATTGTGGCGTAAATCAAGTGGTACGGTATAGAATACATGAGAAATCATGCCTTGAAAATAGTGAAAATAACTGGAGGCCTGTCTATTGTCGTATTAACATCTAAAAACCTATAGAAATTTCTTATTTAAATTCATTACTTGTTTTTCTTATTGTTTCATTGTCTGGAAGTTATTGTGCTTATTGTAATGAAGTTTATTGAACTTCTATTCATACAAATTACCCCAACCTCTTAATATTCTAAGAAAAACAATGTTGAAGTATCTTTTACAAATCAGATTTCAGTAATGCTAATTTTATAAGCTTTAAAATTAGGTTAATTGCACCATTAATTCTAAATAGAAAACGTGTAAGACCCCCAAAATATGGAACATTAAACTTTTAAAAAATAAAATGAAAAATCATTGTTATAATTGACTGATATATTATTTGCAGCGGAACCAGAATATTGTATTTATTTTTGTCATTTATTTTTGTATGTGTAATTATTATACCAAGAGATGGAAGAATTGATATTTAGAAATCAGGTCACATGCAGTTGCTAAGCAACTGAAGACGTGTTGCTTTTAATCCCCTATAATCGGTTTAAGTTTGTATATTTGGAGAAATGACTCGTCCGACAAAAAATCAACATAGCACGAGAAAAGAAGAGCGAAATCAATATTCTAGAAATGAATAAAAAATAGTTATTAACATTTCCGTATTACTTTACATTATATATATGTATTCCTTTTTCTTAAAAATATAGACTGGTGAAAAGTTGAATAAATTCTAGAAACACATGTAAGGGTCAATACAAATTCAAAACAGCCAAAGGAAAAGATCGTAATCATTTATTTTAGTTGTCTATAAATTTCTCATTCTTACCTGTACTCTAGATTCAGGAAGGTTGATTTTTAATGCAACTTCTTCTCTCATAAAGATATCGGGATAGCGAGTTTTCTGAAATAGGGATTCTAATACATCAAGCTGAGCTCGGGTAAATGTGGTTCTTTCACGTCTCTGTTTTCTCGGGTTGTTGGTCATACCTGATAATAAAATAAAAACACCAATATTATTTTTGAAGAATTACTGTAAATCTGAAAGGATCGACATTTCCCATGATAGTGAACCGCTTTTCCAAGAACGGAAGGATATTATAGTTTGAGCGAAACCAATATATCACCCATACTCCAGCCTAAACAAATACAACAAGTGCCCATTTTTAACAATAATTTCTAAAGTTGATTCTAAATAAATTTAATGGCAATTGGGGTTAACGAAGCATTTTATGAGATGAGTCGTAAAATTGGACCAATTAAATTGTAATTTATCTGTTTAGTTTTCTATTCTAGTTGTAAACGAAGGGAGCTAATAAAATGTTGGGGATGAAAACATGGAATGAGATAGGGGTGGTGATTCTCGGGGGAAGAAAAACAAACTTAAACAACCAAAGTCCTTGACTAACATACACCGACCGGACGCATCGTTGATGCTATTGTGTGCAACGGTAACAGTAGTTATTGTGATCGAGGTTTGACCAAGGTTGGCGTTGACACACAAACAATATCAAGTCATCAGTTCTTCTCGCTCGCCTATTTCCCCCTTCAATTCACATCAGCGATTCCACTCAAGCAAATCTCATAAAAATGCAATTTTCTATTCAGTATGTTGTTGAGAATGAAATGGGAGTCGTGACGTTAAGAATGGACCGGGGACTAAAGCCCCTTTTGAACAGGCGAGTTTTAACATGGCTCTCTCTAACCTATTGACTTGAGTTTATTTTGCTTGTAAAACGTGTGAATAAGGACTAGCCTTTCTCACAATATCACCGACAGATGGGTCGAAAATACAACATAACTTATTTTACCAAACCCTGAACAAACCCTCTATTTGATTTCAACACGCGTTCACGTGCATACCTCTTGCTCTAGGCATCTAGATATATAAAAGAGAATGTTTCCTTTCCATTCGCGCTACCCTGGACGACATTATTAGTTCGTCGAAAATGTTGGAAGTCAAGTGATAAAAGTTGACATTTGACATTGACAAATATGTTTTATTATTATTGACTAAAATACACAGTAAATAATAAAACTACTTATAGTTAACTTATTATCTTAAACATCAGTGAATAATAATATTAAAACGGAAATAGGGTCCTTATTAATTTAGCGAGTTCAGCGTGCTATCAATTTTCGTTCTTCTAAATTACTAATCATTTTTCCAAACCGAAACAATTTTGTGTTTTATTACTAATTATCTTGGACATAATTATGCTTGTTTGCAAAACAAAGATTTTGCGTGAATTATCTAATAAAAATTTATGACTAAAAGTTGTTAACCCACGGGCATTAGTTTTTTGTCAAAGTAATAACCTTACAGATACAATTTAGTTAGTAAAAATGAATTAATTTCGTTCTTCCTCTGAATTTGATAACTGTAAAATGGGAGTGATCAATTAAGTATCTATTTTCTATGATCGGTAAAACATGGGTATAAACTATTTAGGGATTTATTCGTGTATTTCGGTGACGAATAATTGATACGATATTATTTCATCCATTTTTTATTTTTATAGTATGCCAAACGAAGATTATAAAACGTATTGGAGTTGATAAAATTATTCTATTTAAATAATAATATACTTTTTCTTACCTTGATACCCCATAGAGCCCATCGATCCCATGGAACCCATAGCCGGGTGTAGTAAATCTACATTATGATGTGCAGATAAACTGATGCCGTTGACTGAATAGGAATTCATCTTGTGTCCTTGCATGGCGTGAGCTGAGACCGGGGGATAAGCCATGCTAGTCATCCTTAGATCTGGATCTGTATCGAAACTATCCAGGGTGAGAGAAATATCGTCTGGCGGCGGGGGGTCTAAATATTCTGCTCGGTAAGCTGTAATAAATATAAAATATATTAAGGAGATATTTCAAGTATAATTCATAAAAAATTGTGTTAAATATAAAACAACTGACATAGCTTGTGAATTTGCAGACTACTATGTAAACCAATAAGCAATCATAAACTAAGGTCAAAAAAATCACATCCGACAACCGTTATAATAATGTTTAAAAATATTAATATATTAAATACATTTAGAAAGAAACACCCGTAAATACAAACCGAAAAAAAATGCCTATGTTCTTTTTGATAACAGCAATATATACCTTGTAAATATGTCTCCTTATTACTCCGAATATAGGCTTATATATCCAAGTAGCTGTACATGAACAAATCCTAAATATTAATGGCCTATTCAACTAAACAAGTAAACATGCGGGTAAGCTGGGATCAAGTTTAACCGAAGCCAACGTACAAAACTAATGAAGTGAAGTGGATTAAGGCTGACCCGTTATATCTGTACCGACTGCTTTGCTATCGTTTCGCTTCATCACCAATTATTGTTTTACAATCAACCGACCAACCTAAAACCCGCCCCCTTTTCCGCGCCAACAGGTATGGTGGTCTCTCATTGGTCGATACCATCACTACTATTGTTTCTTAGGTGACACGGAATGCTAAAAGCTCCTAACATTGTTTTTACGGTTTGTGATCTTGATCCTCAATGTAAATATTCCTAAAACATGCCCTGTCGTAGCTTTAACTTCTAAAAACTTATCAAAAATATAGAACTAGGGCTTAATCACTAGCCATTGTTTTGTTCCATAACTGCCACAAAATACAAGGACAAACTACACTAATTTTACATATACGTCATGGGAAAATTTCAAAATAAAATAAGTAACCTGTAAAAACACAGGTAAAACAACAACATTGAAATTTACAATTACTCAATAGTATTCAATAGACATATAAGAAAAATATTTTGATGCAAAATCCAAGGAATGGCGCATGGTTTCTTAATACTTCATTAAACCAGCTTAGCGAGCTATTGAGCTTTCGGTATATAGATATTATAGTCTGATACAATTTTTGGGAGATTACGTATGGGCTAGTTGTTACTGAATTGTATTTCTTCTAGTTTTAAATATAACAACGCTGTACATGAAGCAAATGTTTTAGAATATTTCAGAGTAATATTTATGTAGATATATATGAATTGTTACATTCAATAGTTAGAGTAGATAAAGATATATGTTATTGAGATGTTTGTCATTAGTGCGTTTCTAGCAATTGATATAAAACCTATATAGAGTATGGACGATAGTGTGAAGGTGATAAGATAGCCGTTATTCTAACACATTATACTTCACAGTTAAATATAAATACCACTATTATATCTTATCACTGAGATTCTTTACTATTTAACTGGGTGTCAATATCGGCTACAGGTATAATATGTAATCTGTGAAAGAGGAGGGGGCGTTGGGGAGGGTCGTAGACATTTCTAACATTGCTTCATCCAGTCTGCAAAGATGAATTGTGAAGAATTTACTTGTATTTTAACAAGTGAAGGTGGCAAACATTACAAGTGATGGAATGAAGCACGTGTGATTTTATCACAGTATTACATAATACCACAACCCATGGCGCTTACTCCTTCACCCACCTAAGACACCTCCATTAACAAACACCACCCTGCTTGCATAGAAAACTACAAACAAATGTATTGTGAGAGAATGGGGATAGCTATCGCATTCTCTACTTCACACCCCAACATCGTATCAACTAGAAAATAGCTGGGCACAGAAAAATCTCGCGTTTCTTAATCTTAACGCGTGCGTTAATAGAGTAATGACTGAATATACATCCTCACACTTTCAATGTGATCTTACCGATTTACGTCAATTTCGGTTGTTTCAATATTTACAGAATTTAACCATTTTCCTTTATTCTCAACTCAATGACAAAATCACAATAAATGTTCATATTAAATCAATTGAACCCGAGGGTGGGGCGGGGTCGACGTCATTACATACGCGTGTACCTCACGTGCGTCAGCCATGTTGAAAAACTAGGCGATAATTAAAAAGAAAATGGCATATGTTGCGTATTTTCTACGCTTTTCTTCCATTATTTTCTTCAACACTCAATTAGCTCCGCAAAAAATATTATTAAACGTTTGTTCTGGCTTATACCGTTCACAGAACCTTGATGTTAATGTTCCTAACCATTAATTTTAAGATACATGAGGGCAAATTCTTCAGTCTAAAACATAAACATTTATAACATTTTTTTAAAACAGATAATCTAAGATAACATTAGAATATATTTTCCTTTCTTATAATACAATTAAAAAATGTTAGAAACTATGCAACAGCGTAAAGCGTATTATACAGAACCTTTTTTTTATTATTATTTTGCGTAACTGTTTATGCTTATTTATTTTAAACAATGTATTATCTTCCCATAACATCTGATATCACTTCTAGTTTAAGGATTTAACATAGCTAACAAATTTTTGTTTGTACTTTTGTATTTAATCAACAGGAAATTAGAGTTTGAACCCTCGTCCCGCACTATATTTAATTCCATAACAAGACATTAGTTATAATGAACATTATATCAAACCAAAATTATATATTCAAAATCCGTGTAAATAATATATAATAATATAATTTTTTTTAAAATTTGAATTAAACAGAAGGTGTCATATTTTGACTTAAAATGTAATATATTGCGGATTTAAACTGTTTCCATGTGAAAGATAAAAAATGGAACAATATTAATGAACATTACTTTATTTTCTTTAAACACAGTATGTGCACTACTCATTTCATGATTAAAAGAAAAAAACACAGACACCGTACTAATGGCTAATTGAAATCTAATTAAGATAATTACATTGCTTTCTTACAAAATTCAGCTTACTCGCCCATTTCTAATCATTAATTGCTTTTTCACTGAAAGCCGAGTAAAACTAAAAAGAAATTAGATTTCAATACGAGTAGAGTTAACTTACGTCCTAAATCTGGGACCCAGAGTCATATTGTATTTTTGAATTATTCTTAATTTCTAATCCAAATTTAGTCGGTAGAATACAAGTTAGGTTAATTAGCTTTGCTGAAAATTAATACGCATTAAAACTACAAAGAAAAATCGATACGCTCAAAAATACATTTGTTTTGTTTTTGCTGAACTAGAAAATATTTATAATATATAATTCCGATAATTTTTGAAAGATTTTTTTTTCGAAAAAGAATCAGCTATATTTTATGTTGCTATGGTTGAAAAAAATGTATTGATAACAACACGTTTCAACAAGTTTAACTAATTGACATTAATGGATTTAAAATAAAATTTTCACACTTAATATATTAATGGATGTAAATCGCAGTCAATCAGTGGCATTGACTGGTTAATCTGGCCTTGCATCAAGATACATACGTAATAATCACAATCAATGTTTTCATTGCCTTTAACTTTTACTCCAGTAAGAAAAACGAATAAAAGAGGCTTAGTACGTGTAGCAATTTTACTCTAATCAGTTTTTAACCTAGTTAGAAAATTATTAAGTGTGTCAGTTTACTTAAGATTTGTCACTTTCAAATCGGCTTTAAGTCATAAACTACAAATGTTTTACAACCTGGCTAGTCGATATTAATATGTAGTTGGAGATTATTGAATAATAATAGTACTTAGATTGACAATACATATAGATATGAATAGAGTATTTAAAGTATATAATATAGATATAATGAAGGGATTTAGTAGATAAGATATTATCTACAGATTATCACGTAAGTCTTACATTAACTTCTGTTTCAAGTAAACGTTTACATATAAAAATAAACATGGATATATATGTTGTCAATATTACAACATAACGTCGTTTAAAACATGGATAACGTATGGCGCTATAGTTCAGGCCAATTATTTTTATACAATATTTCTTTATTGGTCCTCCGATCTTGTTCTACTATTTGACATCATGACGTATTGTGTCAGTTCGTAATGGGCAAAACACGAATATATCAAAAATTATTTTGTATTCTTGGGGAAATCTTTTCGCCAATTAAATAGGAATGTTAAATCGTTAATGTAAATATTGGCAAATATTGAATTGTATGTAACGAAAATCCGATGATGGGCTAAAACTAAAATTAATAATACTGTATTTGAATATTTATTGAATGGAAAGCTCAACTATCATTAATTGTAAGCCACCATTGCGATAAGTAAAGGTTAAACATATATTTTAATGTCAAGTTTTTCTTGTTTTTTTGGCATGACAAACTGTGTTTACAACGTATCCAAATCTAGGACGACAAAGACCTTAATCTAGATTGTCCAAAAAAAAATGTGGAAAGGCTTTCAACTTTTTTAAAAGATCAAAATTATATTTGCCATGGCGTTTAAGAAACGTGAGTATGACAGGATATGGCCAAGGGAGTTGTTCGTACTGCGGAGTGTAGTGTAGCGGCTAACAAGCTAACGACGCTAAAACCCTCATTAAAAGCCGTTCATTAATAATTAATACATGTTTAATGCGCTGCTCGTTACACGGTAGAAAGCCGTAGTGACAGTTGGATATTAACCCTGTCAGTTAAACAAGACTGTCTCGGGTCCCTTGGGCTGTGTGACACTCAAGTATCTGATATTACTCAAGAGACCTCACTCACAATAATAAAGGTATACATTTTCATCCTTTATGGACTTGGTGCTGATTTTATTAAAATCTCGTTTCATCCTATTAACTCCTGATTCAAAAGGTTACTTCTAATTTTCTGTACTCGAATTTATGGATTTCAGACTCTTTGCCCACCCTTTTTTACAACTCATTAGCAGAAAAAAAGAACGTATTGTAAAATATCATACTATAAAACAAACATAATTTATAAAACTCAAAGATGCTAAATGTTTTCGATATGCTTTAATAATTTTGTATAAAACACAACTTGATGGCGTCATTTTACTTAAATAATAATAACGTTAAACCCTCCTGAGTATCCAAATTCCAAGTACCGAGGCCACGACAAAATTCATACGACTCG